TCTTGTTGTGCGCATGTTTCCCATTATTAATATGTCACTGTAGCCACTAGACAAGCCACTTATGTATGTAGGGTCTTCAGTTATTCCGTTTTGGAAGTTAAAGGCTATGATAAGCTTAGTTTAAAATAGCTTTAGTTACCAAAATTCCTTTAAGTGCAATACTAAATTTGTGGATATAGTTTAGACATTTTGCATGTAATATTGCCCAGTAGACTTCCACAAAAAATATATCAACCAAGCCCTTCTGATCATTATTGTAAAGAAAACACATTTCAGTCTTAATGTGGGATACTACAGAGCTTGTATAGTTGACATGTGCCATTGTCCAGAAGATCTCTACAAAAGTTCATTATTCATGCACCTAGGGTTAAAATGCCACCACTATGGATGTTCAGTTGTTTTCTCCCCTAATTGAAAGAATATTTGAGTTCCCTCAAACAATTTTTATTTGTTTGGGTCGTCAGACCAAACAAATAATGGTAGCGAAATTTCAGAGTCTAATGCTGTTAATTGCAAATGCCGAAAGTAGTCCACTTTTTTGAAGCGGTAACTTCCCTTAATATGTACACTAACGCCGAAAAATTCAGGGGAGATCACTGCGTAAAGATGGTCAAAGACAGGCACATAATTCCCGAATAGTCGGAGATTTCTAATATTGTTTTATAGCATTTTCTGATCGAAAATAAGTAAATACAAAGCGGACATTCAATCTCTGACACATAAGTTTACAACAAAATATGAAAAACAAGATCAACAAGGAAAGGCGGCGTTCAATGAACGCAACCCCCATATGACCCAGCAACAAGAACCAATGGCAAGGAGCCCAGGCGGACCCCAAACATGACAAATAAAAAAAAACAAATTCGTTTTTTTTGTATCATAAAAAATGATGTCATCATATATAAAATGTTCATCATGGAGGTGATTTTATATTTTTACATATTTTCCAAGCATCTCATAACATTTTGCTTGTAGAACCACTGAATGATTGTAACTTTTTCTATTTTTGCTGGTCACATTATACTTATCTGAGTAATTTAATACAAGGATAATCACAGCCAAATTGAACAAAATTTATTATTTACTTTCATCTTTTTGTAATGTAAATTTCCCATAGGCATATGGGAGTTATTCTTACTGTTAATGCAAGTGTACCACTTGACTAAGAATTTTGTACTGTTACATGGGTAACCGTATTTTTTTAACAGTATAAAATCTGGTCACGTGCTCTATTTACTAAATAAAATGAAATTAAATGGCCGCAATTTTTTTTCTTGATTCATAGGACAACAACATCTTCTCTTGAGTAACTATGACACACATAAACTTTAGTTGTTTGCACCCTGGTGTGCTTTTTGCGTATAAAATAACTTTTTGTTGAATAGTCAAAAAGTAAACATCCGTTTTCAACGGAAGTAATTGCAATGTAAATAATTATGTGTCAAACTGGAACATGCAGACGATTTAAGCTTGCAACAAAGGATTATTTAACAATTTTAATCAGTGAAAAGTTACATAGATAGTGGACAGAAATAGGATATCATCGTTCTTTTGTCGAAACCCATGCGAAGAATATTCTGGAAACAAAAGGATCCGATTTCACAGATCATAACCGTATAAATGGGTTTGTGTTTTGTTTTCTATATAAAATATGATAAACACGATCATCAAGGAAAGGCGGCGTTCAATGAACGCAACCCCCATATGACCCAGCAACAAGAACCAATGGCAAGGAGCCCAGGCGGACTCCAAACAAAAACAGGACAGGGCAAAGACAGAGCACGGACAGGTTAATCATTAAATGATAAATAATTTGTAACTGATTAGGAATTCAAAGAAAATAATAATAGGCCCACAAAGGGGAAGGAAACAGGAGACCGGGGGAAGGGTGGGGGGTAATTAAAGAAATTAAAACTAAAGGCAATGGGGAAGATACTTACCGTAGACGAGAAAACAACAAGGGACACAAGCAAAAGTGTCACCAAAACAGCATGAAACAACATAGACATACATCTGAGGAACACAGTGGGGCGCCGCCTTGAACCGGTCAGCAGCATAATAATGACTTCTGGGGAGATTAAACCGGTTAATGGTGCACCAAACCTCGCTCTTAGCCCCACCATCTTCCTATAAACGAGAGGTGTAAATAAATTGAATCCCGCCAAGTGAAATTCTAACAGTTGTCATGTTTACAAAAGGTTAAATAAGTAAAACACTAAAATAATCATGTAGAAACATATAAAAGTAAACCCATTGACCATAACAAAAGTACCCAATGTCCTAAAGGAAGACAGAGCAACAAGAAAATCACCTACAAGGGACCGACGAAGCAAGACAGAAGACGAACATTAAGACAATTCAGTCCCAAAGGGCTTTACGAACTATCCATCAAAGACTCTCCCACTTGGTCCGCCAGATGCAATCAAAAGAGGAAAGCGTATTGTCCAACTGTAAAAGGGTTGAACACTAAACATGCAGTATATCTTAAAATAGTAGGATCATAACCTCTTTTAATAAAACGTTTAATGATTTTAGTAAAAACAGCAGAAAAAATATCATGACCCTAAATCTTTCGAAGTTTGTAAATCACATCGCCATAAAAAACCAGGCTGGCTAATCCCTTCTCGCAGAAGAGTTTTTAAATCACTATTGAATTTAGAAATTAAATCAAAGTTACGAGTGTAAAATTTAGTAAAATATTTCCGTAATTTATGATAGCGGTAGCCCTGTTTTAGAAGCTTGCTGGTAATAAAAATATTCCGCTCGTTGAAATCCTTTACGTTGCTACAAGCTCTAGCGAATCTAATTAACTGAGAAACATAAACCCCGTAAGATGTTGGGGTACGTCTCCATCTAAATGTGGATAATTTACTATACAAAAGTCAAAGTCATCTCTTTTATCATAGATTTTCGTGTGAATAGAAGAATTGTTGATAGTAATATGAAGATCCAAAAATGATGTACTTAAATTTCAAGAGTTCGTTTTATTAAGTTGTAGTTCATGCGGATAAATGTCAGACACCATTTGATTAAAATATCTAAATTAAAAATATCATTAAGGTATCTGGAAGTATTATTAAATGCGACTATAACATCTTGTTGTTTATCTTCAGAGAGACTCAACATAAAGTCTCTTTCATAGCAGTACAAAAACAAATCGGCGACCAGGGGTGCAGAACTAGTGCCCATAGGAATTCCTATGATCTGTTTAAATAGGGTATTACCAAACCTGACATAAATGTTGTCTAAAAGAAAAGAGAGTGCTCTACAAACTTCGTCACAGGTCCACATAGTATAATGTTTAACAATACCGTTAGTAAAAAAAGCTTTGTTAGAATTACATGCTAGAAAGGTAACTTTTTCCGGTGCAGAAGTTTTCTGAATTAGGGAAATTAGTTTATCATTGATTAATTGATGTGGCAAAGTTGTATAAAGTGTAGAAAAATCGTATGTACTGACAGTTGAAGCTTGAAAGTTGAAAGAGATGTTTGCCTGTGTTTTCATAGACTTTTTCAAAATATCTAATTACATGTGTTTTAATAGCAGTCAAACATAAAGTAAAATAGAAAGTTTACTTGTAGTGCAAGATATAGAATTAGCAATGAATCTGGCATTGTTAGGTATTTGTTATGTAATTTAGGAATCCAATACATAATAGGAAGTTTGAGTTCTTTTTCATTAATTTTGGACTTTAAGATTGGAAATATTAGTAATATGATTGTTAATAAAGTCTCTTTCGGAGGCAGAGGTTTTAGAATACGCATAAGTACTATTTAGTTTCTTATGCAAATCGTTAATGTAATGGATTCGTCATACAATTATACTATTATTAGCCGCCTTGTCCGCTGGCACCAAAACAAATTTTGAATGAAAAGCTATAATATCTTTTTTCAGATGTCTTAAAGTAAGTCTTGGTTTAGGTGGCAAAAGATGTTCATTTCCACGATAAAAATTGATACGTGAAGCAATAATTTTAAATTTTAACACAGCTTATTGTATGTTTATGACTAGATATCATCACTTGCTTAAATAATAAAAGAAAACTTCTCAAGTAGGATTAAAGTATACAGGTTACACTTAAAACTTAAAAGGTAAGGACAGTTTAGTTACTGTATTGTTACTCTTTGTTTATTTATTTTACAGTTAGATTTTGTTGACAATTTCAGATCATCACAGTATTCTTGTTCGGATAATAAAATAGATAACACATGGGTTTGTGGGTAACAGTAAAAATATCATCCCGAGGAAACGCCGAGGGTAACAGTATTTTTTACGAGGGATGATATTTTTACTGTTACTTACAAACCCATGTGTTATTTATATAATATTACGTAGCCAATTCAGTGTACATCTAGTAAAGTTATTTACAATTAAAGCTTTAAAGACTTGTAAAGATGATGCGAAACATTCTTAAATTTAATCCGGTTCATCTGATAAAAGTTCCAAATAAAATATATGTATAAGCATGTTTTCTATATAAAACACAGCTTATTGTATGTTTATGAGTAGATATCATCACTTGCTTTAAGAATAAAAGAAAACTTCTCAAGTAGGCCTAAAGTATACAGGCTACTCTTAACACTTAAAAGGTAAGGACAGTTTAGTTACTGTATTGTTATTATTGGTTTATTTTTGTTACAGTTAGATTTTGTTGACAATTTCAGATCATCACACTATTTTTGTTCGGGATAATAAAATAAAGAACACATGGGTTTGTGAGTAACAGTAAAAATATCATCCCTCGTAAAAAATACTGTTACCCTCGGCTACGCCTCGGCAGAGTCATAGATAAATGTTATCTATGTCTCTGGCCTCGGGTAATAGTATTTTCCTCGGCTGTTACCCACAGACCGATGTGTTATTTATATGATATTATGTAACCAATTAAGTGTCCATCTAGTAAAGTTATTTATAATAAAAGCTTTGAAGACTTGTCAAAATGATGAGAAACATTCTTGAATTTAATCCGGTTTCTATGATTAAAGTTCAAAATAAAATATATGTATATGCATTTATATGTAATATAAAACCGTGGTATAAGTACGAAATAAAATGTCTGCATGTCTATATGTATAAGAAATATTTTTGAAGCCTCTATATATTTAAGCGTCAAACAATTATGATTTTATCCTATAAAATACCCACCATAGAGCGATTATTTCTTTTCAATTGTCTGTGTAAGATTCAATTTACAAATAAGGAAACAAGGATTCATATTTAGTACTTTGTTGCTTTATTATTTAGTACCATTCAACCTGTCTAATGAAGCATTGGAAATTCCAACTTTCGTTTTCGTATAGTACAATTTCAATATAAGGTAAATAAATAACTTTATTTGCTTTTTTTATTTTGAAATGATGAGCTTTTATAAATAGTTAAATCATTTATCAAATTTTCACTTTATAAATATATTGATTAAATGTGTCATTTCCGTGTTTTACAGGGATTCATTTCAAAGTATAAATTGTTGTTTATTTATCGTGAAATCTAATCTATTGCATTAAGAAATACAGAAAATTTTATAAAACAAATGAATTTCTGTTTTATTTTAGCATGTCGAGAATACCAGATTACGCTCACAATTTATCACTTAAAATGTCTCAAGTGATGGATATGATTGGTGTAAATGAGAAGATTGTGATGAAAAGAAGAAGATCAAACCTACTGAATGAATCAATAGTGACGGTAACTCATCAGGTACGCGGTAGAGATCTGAATGGGTTTATTTTCGGTAGTCAAATAGAAGGTACAACAACTCTAGGATTAAATTCTGACGTAGATTGTCTTATATCTAAGAACAAATTTAATGTGATACAAGATTGGAGTGAATGGGTATATGGTAAGCGTAATTTCTTAATGATACGAGATGAGTATGTCTCGCCAGGATATTGTTTGTTACAAAAATTAAGAGATGATGCTCCACTACCAGAAGTAGCTGAAGTTGATGACAATTTATATAGAGACAGAATGGGGAGAATATTGTTGCATAATACATTATTAAGTGTTGTTGGAATTAATGAATTAATGAGACACGGCCCAGCCCATTCTCGACAAGATGTTCCTGGGGTCAGTGATAATGTTTTGCCTTTCCCTGTCATTTAAGACCAGTTCAAGCACGGCATTGGTTAAATCAGCATAGAGAGGAGCATTGGCCTACAAATGATATGATACAGTACTGTAGTAACACGCGATGTTTTGTTGTTGGCGTTGGAAAAACAGGAAGTGTAAATGAAGCATTTGAATGGAGAATATCCACATCAATTGCAGAGAGATATTTAATGTTTAATCTTAATATAACACAAATCAGGTGTTTTGTTTTGATGAAAATGATTTTGAAAACATTCATTACTCAAAGATATCCTGACAGCATTTCAAGTTTCATGTGTAAAACAGTTTTGTTACATTGTATTTCATATACAAGATCTGACGCATGGAAGGAAAATACCCTCTATACTTGTCTATCATTTTGTTTATCAACACTTTACAACTGTGTTCAAAATGAATATTGCCCTCATTTCTTCATCACACAAAATAACTTGATGAGCGGGAGATTGTCTCAGGAAACTAAGCCGTTAATACTTGAAACTCTTCGATATTTAATCGAAAGTAATGGAAGTGCATTACTCGAAATTGAATGTGACAACTTTGGGTCATCTGTACAGTCAACTATTAACGGTTTTGTACCGGTACCTGCACATTTTGTACCAACACTGATTGCCGGACAGTTACTTAAAGATACAGCCCTTACTAAAAGCGTGCACTTCCAATGTCTGTTACGTGGTATGTGCAATTTATCACCAATACGATTCAAAAGCTTTTAACATTAATCTCAAATCAACATAATGAGAAGTTCTCAAACATAGATAGAAAAGCTTACTGTTTGTTAACACGATATCTATGTTGTACACTTGGGTCTATTTTAGCATCTTTAAACATTTACCATCAAGAACATTTTACATACAATAAGGCGCTTTCATTCATGTTATTAGGACTTGACTCCGATGTAGCATCTGGTAAACTGAAACTAGCATCTTTTTTCTACTGTATCGGAGATATTGAGAGGACTGAACTTATCTTGAAAAAAATTGAGGAATGTTATGATCTAAGTGTTGTTGATCCAGTGTGTGTGTGTTACGATTTCAAACACGGTGCAAGAAGAGAAAGATTTAACAGATTATGTTATGAATCAAATGAAGAATGCACACTGCTTAAACAATTAACAGCATCGTGTGTCCGTTTTATGCGATGTGAAATAAACTGTTGTCCATTTGAACTTCAACATGAAATGTTTAGATCAACACAGGAAGATCTTGCTTACAGAGGTAGCTTTGATGATTGGATGGATTTCGCTGTTGTTGACTCTCTCCCGTATCTCTATTTCTTGCAGTACAAGACATATTCCCGTCTAGGAAGACTAGATAATAATCAGAGGGCTCTCTCTAACATTGCCCGAACCATTAATGTTGAACCAAATCTCGGACACAGGGAAACAGCACTAAATATTCTAGGCCAGTGTATGGAACAAGAGAATAATCTAGAAAATGCTTTCAAATGTTATGCGCGTTCCCTTCAGATTAGAGGACGAAATAATTCGGCAAAATTCCATATTTGTAATATGTTACATAAATTGATTAATTACTAGTATTCACTTGATTTGCAAGAACTGTATAATTGCATTATCACCAATCGAAGAAAAATATACACCAGTGTTACCTTGTTCAATGGCCAGATTTATTAACGCGAACCTAGTTTTGAACATAAAAGAGATAAAGCCTTTTAAATTATTAAACAGTGTAACTTTTAAACAATGATATTAAAATGTTTTGCTATCCCTGCAGATACGAGGACGGAAAAAATTGGCAAAAAGTCATATTTGTGATCTTATCATCACAGTTTTTGATTTTAACTTTATAATATATGATTTGATTGGGAAATTATTAAAATAGTCCTAAATAAAGTAATTTCTATCGAATGAATCATTAGTATATTACAAAACGTATTTTAGTTTGAAGATATTTTTTTCTGATGTTTATCTCAAATTATCATTACGTATTTATTAATCATGAATTTAACAAGAAATGATTTTTTAAGATTTTTGTGTAACATTGCAATGTTTATTTATTTTTACATCAGATGATGGAACATAATGAGTGACTACCAAAGACCATATATAAACGCATTGAGCATGAATATATTGAGCATAATGTGTGACTTCACAATACGTTTTATGAATGTATGGAGCATAAAAACGTACTGAGGATAATAAGTGACAACATAATGTTATATATGAACGTTTGAAGCATAAATGTTTTCAGCAAAATGTTTTACTTGACAATACTTTATAATAACAAATTGAGCTTAAAAGTATTGTGACTACACAATACCACACATAAAATCATTAAATACATTGATGTCCTTGCTTTTTGCATAAAGGTATTGAGCATAATGTGTGATTATACAATACGTTATTTAAACGTATTGATCTATAAGGTATTAAGCATAATGAGTGACTACAACATACCATATATAAGCGTACTGAGCAAAAACATATTGAGCATAATGAGTGACTACACAATACCATATATAAGCGTATTAAGTAAAGCGTATTGTGACTATACACAATACCATACATAAACGCATTAATATCTTTAAATCCTTGTTGTGTGTATATTATGTGTACTGTATAGACTTTACGGTATTATATCGCTACTTGATCATATGATATAAAATGTGTTCGATTTTTTGCAATAAAATTAAAACAGTGTCATTCTTCTTGTTTAACAAATGGTATGAATAAGTGTTTATACTTAAATCGTTTGTGACAATATCATTTATTTCAAAGAACCTGTTACAGAAGAACAAAAATAACAGTACAGAAATACGTAATTTCTGTTAATGTGTCAAAAATAAAAAAGTTATGTTAAATGTTTAAAAGAATTGTGCTATAATGAACTTGAAATTACTGATCGATGAAAGATACGCATACAATTGGTTAAATTATTTTAATTTCAGTTCAATAAAATATATCCTAAATTTTTGTTTCAACACATTTGTAATATCTATGAGCATGGGAAATTAAAAATCATTAAAATATTAACAAGATTGGAAAAAGTCAATAAATATGAATCATTTAATGAATTTCCCACTTCCGTCCCCACAAACACTTTTTTTCGCAGTTTCATGACGTCTTTAAAAGTTTCAAAAGTTTATTTTAATACACATAAGTTGCAATTATCGGTGTTATCAGTTGTCTACTGAATTCTTAACGACGTCGTTATTCATAACTTGTTATATTATACATTCATGCTTATACAGATATTTCGTGCTCAGTTTTCATTTCTCAAGATATTTATTAAATACACATGTAGTATAGCGGGAAGGTAATGTAATTTAAGTACATAAAGAATTAACTAAAACGTTGTCTCCCTTTAAATCATTTTTTCAATGTGATTTTTTTGTGTGTCCTTAATTTCAGAAATTCCTACTTTCGGTTTCATGTATTTATTGAACGTATTTCCTTCCTGTCAGTAAACAAAATAAAGTAGAACAAAACAGTTCTGTCTTAACGCTTGTTATCTATAACAGATAATCCAAACATAACCTTATATTATCATACAATCTAAGATAATCATGCTTAAGGTATATTTTGCACAATATAGCTGAATTATCTATATCTCATGATATGACACCGTACCCGACGTTGAACACAAAGACACGTATAAAGAAAGAACGTAATGGCTTATTTCTTACGCATAAGTGGAAAAAAGTATAATGTTCAACCATATTAAAAATACAAATAAGATACATAGTTTTGATAATTTAATTTTATCTATATGGTTTTGTTCATTTTTATCTATTTTACCACTATTGTGTAAAACTATTTTGTCACATTTTAGTTAATACATGGAAGGAAATTACTTAACCTTCTTCCCTATCATTTTATTATCAATAATCTGCAATAATATATTAATGAATTATGTCATCTTTTTAATAAAACTAAATCATTAACTACACAAAGCCAGGACGGGATCAATCTTGAAAAATATTAACAAATGTGATTATTATAGTGCATAGTAAGTCTGAAGTTTACTTATTAAAATTCTTGTTTTATAAAAGCCGCCATCTGAGCAAAATAGGCAAAAGGATCGGATTAATCTTCAATAGGTCGCTGGTTAGATCCTCCGTGACAATTGATCCCGAAGAAAAAGTCATGTCATTGCTCTCTCACTGTTGGTTCGGCAGTTGTGAGGAAGTTGGTAATTATAAGTTTATTATCAAGACAAGCCGGTTAGGTGGACCTACCACCGAGATTTAACCAAAATTGGTATAAATTCCTAGAGAAACAAACAAACAAACACTCAAACCAGCAAAACAATTGTTTGATATAACTTCAATAGTGTACTGTTTAGATTGACAAAGGGATATTTGCTTACATATGCTAAGGCTTTTGTGTGTAATAAACTGTGTAGGATTCTCCGCATTGCCTTTTTGTTCGCAGTACAAGACATACCGTCGAGACGATGACATGATGTTGTTTTTATCTTTTAAAAATAATCAGAATCTAAATATGATGTTTGACACAAATTGGACATTTTTCATAGGTAGTATTCTTTATTTTTAAATGCTACTAGATAATACATGGTAGCGAGTTTTCGTTGGACCACATATTGAATCAATAAGGCGTCTATAAAAAAATCTTAAATGACTTTGATATCCGCTGTAAGGTATCGTATCAGAATTTGGATAGGACAATGATTATTTACATGTATTTGTAGCATACCTTTTACTTGTTTTTAAGCATAAAATAAAAGATAATTAACTTATAATTACCAATTTCCGCACAAGTGTCGAAACAAAAGTGAGAGAGCAATTACCATTCGACTCATTAAGTTCATGAGATGAAATAAAATTACAACAAACAAATTTTCTTTTATTTTATGCTTAAAAACAAGTAAAGACGAAATTTCTATAATTTTAACGTTAATATTAAAATCTGTTTTCCCCATTGAGAGCCTCATTTAGTCGAGATTTCTCATTAAAATCAAGAATTCTTGAGCTGAAAAATAAGTCCGCCAATCAACGTTAAATGACGGTTATATTTATTCATTTATTAAAAAAATATGAATGATCGCTTGTTTTGATAATAAAAACAAACAATTCTTGTAGGAGAAAAAGAAATTTATATCAGACATGGCTTTGTAAAATGTAAACGGCAGCCATTTTTTAAAGTTGTGTATTTCATGGGAGGAAAATAATTGTGTAAGATTCAGTGGGATATATTTTGGCATTTTTTAGTGATACAACCTTTTTTAAAAGAAAGA